GCTTACATGATCCCACGAATATCCATAATCCGAGGATGATTTTCAGTACAGATTGGCTAGAAGTATTTCCATTTCCGGAAAAAGAAGTACATTGCACAACGAGGTTCTTCGTGTAATGAATCTATACGTTAAAGGAGGTTGAAGAAAGGTCATTCTGACACCGCATTGTAGTGACTGCGGAACGACAATTTAACATGTTCGAGAGTTGCCCCCGTCGATGGAGCGTTGTGTCCTATCGCTTCTTAGCATTGGTTTCATCAGAATCACCAATATTCTGATATCGATTCTTCAGCTAGCTTATCAACCGGTGTTTATATGAAGATCACCAGCGATGAGGTGTTGTCAACGGTGAAAGTGTTTAAAGGGGCATAATACCTTAGTTTGTTAATAATTTCATGTTTCATCTACGCCCGAGTCTAGTGCAGGATATGTACCAGTAGTAGTAGTAGTAGTAGTAGTAGTACTCACTGAACTCGGAATACGAACCACACAGTGTGAATCAAGGATTAGCAATCACAGACTGGATCACGTAAGCACTGGACCGCACTAGTAGTAGCATGCAATATCCCAAGTAACTGAGACGTGATGAAAAGGCCACAGGAGTAGTGATTTCTTTACTGGAAGAAATAATGGGGATTAAATAACATGTACAAAGTATGATAACTCGCACATTTTTCAATCTCTCAGATACTGCAAGCTGTTTCCTGGTATGATTATGGGCATTTAAACATGCTATAGCTAACAATTTGACACGCTGTAATTCCCTGTTTGAATTCACAATATGTATTCCAATTATTCAGCAAGTGTTCTGTTTTCCATTCACTAGTCGTACGAAACATAGTTTCAACAGCAACCGGACATATTAGAACCGTTCTCCGGACGGCTCGTCGTCTATCATCAGCACCTCAAATCACCTCAGTCGATAAACCAAATTTTCGATGAAAGTGGACCAATGAACCAAGGGATCGATCAATTAAATATGGATATGATTGAAGTGTCTAAATTCTGACGTCCAGTTGTGGTAGTTTGTTCCCGGTTTATTGATTTTCCGACATTCTGTTCTATTTGGCTGATGGTCTGCGCGCTAGCATTTGATATGCCTTGTTTGCGTGGGCGTACCAAATAAAGTGATCGATCACGACACTTTTCAGCATCAGTAACGGCTTTGTATCACGGAGAAAAGTGATCGTCTGTGGCTTTTTCCAAGATGGACTAAGAACTCTTCGTGCAAGTAAAATAGGTTCAGATGTTACGAATAACTGGATGCATACTTATTGTCCAGGTACCAATTTCAGTTTTTGTTATATCGACCTACTCTTACAGTTTTTCGCTACCCTCTCTCCGACCCACTTGACTGTCAGTAAGGAATGCACAGATAAAAGTTGATCCCCATTGACATCGGATGAACTGAAAGGTATCACAGTCGAAGCGACCGTGAAACGTTATAGGCCAAATAAAACAGAAAATCCACATGGTCTGTACTCCCGTTAAGCCTTTTCGAATATTGGCAATGCGAGTTTGAGTGTATCAATTGGGTTGAAAAATATTGCATGATTCCAACAAATTGTGATCTAGAATCTCAATGCACGAAAATGCCCAACTGTTGAGGGAGAGAAGGAAGAAATAGGCTTTCGATCAGTTTTGGAAACACGGACATCCAGTAGTTTTTCTGTACGCATTGATGTATTGTTTCTCTGCTCATTGTGATTGTTTACGCACATGAAAGGTGCTGTTTTGGTGGTCAGTATACACTCGCCATAAATAACTGTGGTGATCCAACACTGCTTGATAGCGCCAATAAAGGAATGACTCGATACAGCTTCAGGTTGACCCATCATAAATCCCCTGGTTCAAACCGAAATCGTGAGTCCATAAGAACAACGTGAACTACTATTTCGTGTTTCGATTACGATTGCAACTTCAATTCCCAATTTCCGTTCATGACGATTACTACAATTACGTAAATTTCTTCCCGATTTGGATTGAAGGGTGAAATGAAGCCAGAAACAATGTGCTTTGCA